TGGAGAGGGGGGTGGCCGGTCGGCTGGAAGGGAAAAGGGCGGAGAGGGGTGGCAGAGGTGGCGGCGTCACAGGGACACGTTTATTGGGAAGCGAGCCTGGCATTTGGTCGGAGAATGTGGCACGGCTACACTGGAATCTCAACTGCCTCGTGCTGAGAGCATTATAGTTTGGTTGTAGGTTATTAGGTGCGTTGGCTAATAGGCATCGATATCGGGTATTAATGGCAGGTAACCAGACGGTGATAATGGGTATCAAAGGGTGGTGTTTTAGCGTGATACGGGGAATAGTAATAGCGGCTTTTACCTTATTATTCCATCAAACCCCCGTCGTACTTTCGCCCCGCGATTTTTACCGTGCCGCTTATGGTTGCCCCTGAGAACAATTTTTCGCTCGTACCCGCGAATATGTGTCGCGAGAAAATCGCGGTAAAAATCTGGGGAGGCTATTAAACTGTATCGAAATTAAATCGAAACCCAACGAACAAACGCACCCCCTGGAACTCGTGTTACGAATAAATCGAGTACGCGTGTTTTACTTGATCCTGAACCACGCGAAAATCGAGGACCCTGGCGAATTTGGAAAACGGAGATCATCTGACACCACTGCGAGATCCACGCCGCAAGCAAGCAATCAGAGGGAAGGAAAGGGGTGGCGCGAGACGAGGGTGCACCGGTTGCCTTTATCGGCCGACAAACTTGACGACACTCGTCCCTCTCTCTCTCTCTCTCTCCCCTCGGTTGTGCGAGGTCGGGCGAGATTCGCGAAAGAGACGAGGCGGCGAAACAAAAGGGGCGTAGCGGGTGGAGGCGAGGGGTGGCATGTGTGGGGGCAGAAAACGATCGGGGCAACGAGAGCGGAAACAAAAGCGACGCGGGGCGATACGCAGTATGGCGACGCTTCCGGCTCGCTCACCGCACACAATGCACACTCCCGTGTTAACTTCTGTGCCCCGTGTGCTTGCTCTTCCCCCACGAGCCATCACCCCTTTTCGTGCATCGTTCTCCGAGTAACGTCGAAACGCGCACCCTCGCCAACTCTCTCTCTCTCTCTCTTTCTGTCTCTGCGTCTCTCGTCGCGAATCCCAAAGTCCGCGCGATTCGCCTTACATCGCTGGCCAGGGCCGACCATACGTTCCATCGAGCCCTCTCTTTCGCACGTCGCACCGTGCAACAAGTTCGCGAACGGAGCGTGTCAATTCCGAACGATCGTCGAATTTTCTTCTCCGTTTCTCTCTATTCCCTTTCACCCTTTGTCGAAACGACACCACCTCCATTTCGCCGTTGAACGAAGACGAAGTTCGACGCTGGGAATCGGACGAGCAGGTTGTACGAAATATTTCGAAATGCTGGAATTTGACACGCTCCAAGCAGAGCAGTTTACTTTGCAGAAAGCTTAACCACCCGACACCGGGTCGCGTTGGCCACGGGGACACGGGGAATTAAAAAAGGCAAGCGGTGTAACCAAGTTCTCACGCGTGGTTGAAAACAGAGATGTCTGAAAAACAGAGGCAACGGGCCCGCGCAGCTCAAAGTAACATTTAAATTCAAACAGGCTGACAGTCGTAATCCAGTCTTTTACTCTGCCGACGCTTTGTGCAATTCAACGCGATCCCGAGTTAATCAAACCTGCGAGTCCTTGACGGAAAATATAACGCGCGTGGTGCAGCGTCGAGGAGCGGATCAAACGACGCCCCTGCCGGCATTGGCCGTGCATCTTTTCACGCTTCCTTTATTTCTCTCCTTTCTCTGCCGCTCTTTTCCTCCTTTTTTCTTATATTCGTCTAACGGTGGCGTCGCCTGATGCCGTGCACGCGTGTCATTGTCTTTGTCCAGGCCAGGCACTAGGCTTTATTAAAAAGGCCTGCTGCCTTTTGCTGGTCACTGGCGAGGAAACGGACGCCCAACGCGCGCTGTCGCGTTTTTAAGAAATTAGTCCTCCCGGCCTGGCTCGTTACGCCAAATGCATCCCTCTCGTCGTCGTATTTTCTCCCGGGCTCTCTGTCTACTGTTAATTAATCGCCGCTCCTGTTGCTGTCGATGCACCGGCTTCTGCACTCGCGAGGCGAAGCTTTGTCCGCGCAAGAGCTTCCGCGCCTTTTCTCCGCCAAGGAACACACGCGGAGCAAACGCGGAGACGCGCGGAGATCGCGAGGAGGAGAGACGAAATCTGGAAAAACGGAATATGTATCGAAAGATATTTTTCTTCGAGTCGACTGTAGACCGAGGGTGAAAAAAGTGGCGGTGTAACGCTTCGGTCGCGACTCTATCTTTTATCAGGGACGTCTCCATCGAACCGGAGAGCGTGACGAGAGAATAGAATGCATCGGGTGTAAGCTTTCCAGCCTTTCAATCGTCGCAGATGCCTCGCGAGGGGAAAAAAGCGGCAGAGGGTGGGGAAAAAATGGGGTTAATCTCGCGCTAATCCGCACCGGTTGGTGTAAAAGCCGTAAGAAAACTGTCGTTGCTCAAGGACAGGCTGTAAAACGCGTGAAAGCAGCGAGAATCGGAGGGAACCTTTCCACGCACTTTTACCTAGAAATTAGCCTGTGAACCTTTGAGAAACGCGTCGGTCGTGACGATCGGCAGTAAAAGTTTCGAAACTGGGCCTTTATGGATCGTGGCCTGTATTCCGCCGAGGGGGCTACCGACGAGGACGCTCTCTTTCCATAGAAAGTAATTCCCGGCATCGATTTTGGGCTGGAAAATTCGTGACACAAAGATCGCGTCGAAATTACGATACGCTTTACGACTCGGTAGACTAAAATCCAATCATCGTTCGTTTGTCCCGACCGGTGGGAACGCGTTGGTTACCGTTTCCTCGGAATCGCGAAATTCGAGTGTTGAAAGTATCACTGCGCGATCGAGAATTCGAGAATTTTTCGTCCCTTCTGGACGCCAAAATTTTTCACCCTGGCTCGGCGGGAGGAGATGCAAAATTCTTTTACCGTAGCGGATCGCGGAGCGTCATCGAGAAAGTTTCGGCAGGGCTACCAAACACCCTGGATCACACAGGGCAGGGCCGAAATGAAAAATGAAAAAAACAAGAGGCGAGCGGAGAAATCGCGCGATCCGGAAATTTAATCCGGCCTCGTTTAACCCTTCCTCTTTGCAACGGCGTGCCGAACGGCGAGAAAGGGGTGGCAAGAGACTGCGAGTGCAATTTCGTTGTAAATCTCGCAGGAAAGCCCCCGTGAACGACACGCTGACCCAGAAAGTCAAAGGGTTGGGATTCCGTCAAGATCGATTCGAATTTCGTGCACGGCCAACGCCAGCCTTTACGACCTGTCCTTTTCGAGTTTCCGCCAAAAGGGCTGAATTGGCGCGCCTCTTTTGCGCGAAAATCGGTGAAATGAGCCTCGACACCCTAATAAATCTCTCGCCACACCGCCTTTCCATCTTTCTCCGCTCCGGCCTGCACGCTTCCGCTGCGCGCTCCCCGGCCCCCCACGAGGACACCGCGTGCACTTCTGTCCAAATATTGGGCCCTGTCGGTCCCCGATCCTCGTAACTCGACAAATTACCCGATCGTGCGACCGAGAACGCTCGTTCCAAGAATTTCGCGAAATTTCTGTCTCCGGAACTTTGCGTCTTCGTCCGCAGGGAACGCGAAATTACCGCTCGCCGCGAGAAAACTCGAGGAATATCGCGCAGGCGCGTACCCCTGTTGGCGAACGCGATGGAGATCGACGAGTTTCAACGAGGACTTCGCGCGAGATCCGACGTATAGATCGGTGGAGATTGGAAGAAAGAACCTAGGTGCTACCGGTTATCCGATGTTCCGGGAACCGACCCCCTCGGAGGGGACTGGCGCGAGTGCCTGTCCAAACATCGTGAGCCGCGGGGACGACTCGCAGTGGGCAAATCCGCCAAACTTAATAAATTCGTCAAAAGTTAATTCCACGGTAACCACAGGATTATCCGGCCTTAACGAGGGCGTGATCCAGGGCTTTGCATACCTCTTGCCCGCCTCGATCTTGGCCAGGATTAAGACCTACTAATTCTGAAAAAACGACAATGACGTAAGGGGGGCATGCATTATCCTTGCACTCGGACCGAGTGTTGCCGTGGCAAAATCGAATTCCTCGGCCGAGGCACCCCCTCGTGATCCGTACTCGCATCCGCGAAGCCGATTCTCCGAGCCACCTGATCGTCCGAGCGTTCGCGGAGGCGAAGAAACGCGCGGAACGGAGGAGCGTGGAGGACTGGTGGGGTGGTTGGAACACGTGCGCGTGAAAATTGACGTGGTCACGTAAGCGTGGCGCGGCAGAAGCTGGCAAGGTAGACGGTGGCGAGAAGATCGGCTACGGGGACGCGATGCAGCGGAAGGGTACGGATCGGAAGGAGACAGGGCGAGTCGGGGGCGAGTCGGGGGCGAGTCGGGTGGCGCTGGGGCGCGAGTGAGAGGGAGGACGCAGCGGACGGCAGAGAGCGGAAATGAAGAGCGGAGGCACAAGCCACCCTTGGCAAGAGAGGCAGCAGGCTGGCAGCCCCTTTCGCAAGGCACCCCCTAAGCCTGGTTAGGGGCGAAGGCGGCGAGCCGCGGAGGCCACAACACGACCGCCGTCCTCATTGGTCGACGCGCCTGGCCTGGGTGGGGCTCCGGAAAAATTGGAGGGGAGAAAAATCCCCTCTAAATAGCTGCGGCTGCGGCCGCGAAAAACTAGAATCCGCTCAGCCGGCATCGAGTGCGCGTCGGTTTAGCGTCAAACTTTTTCCTCGCTGTCGTATCGTTTTTATTCTCCAGCGACCCCCGAAAGTGTGCACGACGTCGCGGTCGTAGTCATCGTCGGTTCCTCCAGGGATTATTCTCCGCGGAGATTTTTATTCCCGTTGATCGGCCATCCGATGGACCAGTGTGTTCGAGTGCGCTCGGTTGGTACTCAGTGATCGAACATTCGGACGCGGTGTGCTGAGAAGATACTCGGTGTTGCCGTGGATTATACCGTGACCACGTTGGACTATCGTTACATCGGCGGGCACAGAGATCGCACGGTGGAAAAATGCATCTGCCGGAAGGACCATTAGGAATGGACAACTTCAACGTGATTCACGAGACGCTGCAGGCTTGTCACGGGGATTTAGTGAGGACCGGAAGTCCCGCCATCCTCTGTACCGCGTTGCCATCGCACTGGAGGTCGAACAAGTCTCTGCCGGTGGCTTTCAAGGTCGTCGCCCTGGACGAGGTCAGCGACGGCACCTTGGTCACCATCCGAGCCGGCAACGACGAGAACTGCTGCGGCGAACTCAGGAATTGCACCGCGCTCATGAAGAACCAAGTCGCCAAGTTCAACGATCTCAGATTCGTTGGACGTAGCGGAAGAGGTCAGTGTCCCGTGGATTTACTATCCCCCCTCTCTCCCTCTCTTTCTCTATCTCTTTCTTTAAATCTCGTAACGGGAGCGCAACGAGAAAAGAAAAAGAACGAAAGGGAAGAAATGCTTGCGAGAGTAGGCTCGGAGAAATAATCGAGGTACTTTTACCTGATTACAGGAAAATCGTTTTCCCTGACTATCCAAATCAGCACGGTACCCTTCCAAGTCGCCACCTACACGAAGGCTATCAAAGTGACCGTGGACGGACCCAGGGAACCACGATCCAAGTCGAGTAAGTTCACCCAAACAAGTTGCGCCCCCCAAACTCGACTACTCCTTCCTCTTGTCGGGGGACCATCGCGAAGATTCGGGAAACGACCACAGGACCGATCCGGGTAGTCTCGGGTACTCTCGGGTTTGCGGAAATGCCGCGGAAAGACGCGCAAAGAGGGATTCCGCGGGCAATGGAGCGGGCTCCGCGTGGCCGGCGTAGAATCCGCAAACGGGTGTCGGATCCTCGTAGGCGTTTAATAATCCGGTGGACCTCAAACCGCGAGCCGCGCGGCGGTCGCAGAGACTCGCAGCAGCAGCAGCAGCAGCAGCAGCAGCAGTAGCAGCCTCTAGCAGTCGTTTGCACGTGCACGTGCATAAGGGTGGCTGTGCGCGCGCGCACACGCACACGCGGGGAAAACGCGTGAAAACGTGGCGTGTAGGTAGGAAGCGGAGGTTGGCATCGGTTCAAGCCGCGACGATCGCGGCTCGTCGGCTTCCTTTTAACGTCCTCGCTTATTTTCCCTGGCTGGAAGCCCCGGATTGGCCTGGAGAACGCTAACCGTGCACTACGCTGGCCTATGTTTATCGGGGCGGCATTCGGTCGGGCCAAAGAGCCGGACGAAGCCGCGGGAGGTACAACGACGACGACGCGGACCGTCGTCTGCAAAGGAGCCGCGTTTATGCGTTTGTTTATCGCGCCGCATATGGCGGTAGCATGTGGCTCGTAACTAGCGAGCGTAACGCTGCGATCCTGTAAACAGAGATCGCTAGCTCGCCTCCGGAGAGCCGTCGTTAATCCGCGTTTTATGGGATCCCGGACAGAGTCTCGCTGCCTCCGCATTTTTCTTCTTTTCTTTCCTTTTTTTTCCTCTTTATTTTTCTTTTTTTTTTTCTACCTCCGCCATGGCTGGGTCTTTGTCAGTTCGTTAGGCGTGTCTGGCCATAGAGCCGAACGAAGATTCGCCGAGCCAAACGGATTCTTTCTTTTCTGCTCGTCTCCTCGTATCGGTCGATCGAACGGAATCCGTGAAACGCGAATTAACCTTGGGTGAATCGATCGGACGACAGGGTGGAAAAGTTCGTCAAGGTTGACTCTGTGGCTGCTACCGTTGCCGTTTCGGGAAACCTTGATCGTCGGATGGTTATTTATAGCGTGGAAGGAATCGCGTCGGAGGCACGCGTCTCCCATCTATTTTCGAAAGCTTCGATCGCGACTAAGGAAAACGTTTCTCTGTCGTTTGCAGATTACCAGTGAACCCATGGGTGGACGTGGCGTACCTGAGTCACGCGTGGCACCTGCATCATCCCGCGTTCGTGAAAGGTAAGCGAGCGATTGGCCGATGCAACTCGGTCTGTCTCGATCCGATGCGACGTATCAGTCACGCGGAACCGTGTTCCTAATCGCTGCCATTCGAGCCCTTCGTCCTCGAGTCGCGCGCAATCGATCAAAGGCCAACAATGCACGCGGCCGAAGAATCGAACCGACTCCGGCTAGGAAAAAAGCCTCGAAAGAGGACGACACGCGTTTCAACGAAAAGAGAGAGAGAGAGAGAAAGAGAGAGCTGGCGTTATCGATTTCGCCAGAGTCCGCGACGCCTGCCGATGATTCATACCCCGTAGCTGGACCGAGGGTGAGCCTGAGCTCCCTTTTCCCACACAAAACGGACCCCTTCGGCCCCCATGCATCCACCCTGGCGGCCTACGCGACGACAATACCGCGCGACGCGACTCCCTTCGATATCTCGATCTTCTGCCAACCGCCACACTAATCGCCGCGTTTCTTTCTTCCTCTTCTTCAGGAACCATACCGATGTCGTCGACGGAACTCTTTCCGCCGACCTTCCCGCCGACCGTTCTGCCGTCGTATCCGTTCGACCACGTGAAATATCCGGCGGAATTCGCGACGCTGCCGCCAAAAACCAGCAGCAGCACCACCACGCCGGCCACCATCCCGAACAGCCCGTCCAGAACGCCGCCCAAGAGCCCCAGCGAGTCCGGAAGCGAGTCAGCCGCCGAGGAGATTCGCAGCGCGTTCGTGCCGATCAGATTGAACACGCTGCCGCCAACGTCGTCCGTCATCACCGCCTCCTCGTCGTCGCCGGAAAGGCTGGCCGGCCCCAAGAAGGTCGCGGAGGGTGCGAGGAACGAGCTGAAGGCGCCAACCGCCCTCATCTCGCGGTCCCTGTCGCCCAAGAGGAGCCCATCTCCGACCAAGATCTCGTCGCCACCGCCTGCGAAACCGGTCTGGAGGCCGTACTAGGGCGAAAGGATGCCGAGCACTCGGTGAAACGAGGGTATACGATTCCCGCTGGAAGGCTAGTGATTACTTAGACGTCGTCGGCGGATGTACAGTCTCTTCGGGAGAAGAGAGCGTGACCGACGTTAATCCGTGTGGGCCCTGCCACGCAGGGCTCTTTTCTTCCTCCCACCTTTCCATTTCCCGCTCTTCGTTTCCTCCATCGTTTTTCCTTCATCGTTTTCACGATATTCACCGTCACACGAGGACACGAGAGCGACGCTTTAGCGCGTCCTCGGTTTTACGAGGACGCCGGTGGCGAGAGACGTCTTACGGAGTCGCGTTACGGTGCTCGTATCTAGACTCCCTTTCTCTCTCTCTCTCTCTCTCTCTCTCTCTCTCGGTGATCGACGATCTCTCCCTTCCCCTCCATCTATCTGTATAATCTATCTCTCTCTGGACGATCGGAGGCTGGTCACCTTTGATCGCTGTACTCGATCGTGTGAATATTCGCGAGATTCGTTATTGTACATAGAGTTTGTATATACGTGTAGATAGTTCGTGGACAATAATTGTAGAGAGACGAGAATTATTGTATGTACAGTTTTACGTGTGAATAGGAACGTGTGTGCGTGCGAGGAAAATCAGAGAGACTAAAAAGACAGAGATATTGATATTATTTATAAGCCAGAGATCTAATTTAATGTAAACAGATGGTATTATATAGAGACGCGACGAGGCAAATAAAATCGAAATCCATGCGAAAAATTGAAACACCATGTGTATAATTCGCGCGTCCACGTACCTGCTTCGTCGTCGCGAGATCTTTTTCACGGGGAGCGCTAAGGGGGCGCCTAAGACGCGTAAGAGAAGCGTGTCAGGATGGATCTGCTCGGAAATATCCGTCTGACGCGTGAAAGAGACACGGAACGGTGTTCCGTGCGGCTGCAAGGGGAATCCATATTTCTTTTTTCAGTCGCGATTTAAATCTGAATGGCCGTTCCGCCGTGGTCGTTCAAGGTTCCAGCGTGTGCACGTACGGGTTCCCATACGGCGGGCACAAGGGTAGAGAATGGTTTATATCGAGGGGAGTGCGTGAGATCTGTATTAGTAGCGATAGGCCAGAACGGCAGTGTCTCTCATTCCGGATCCGATGGAGGGTTCGCAGGGACGAGAGTACCTCGATGGGGAAACCGGGCAGCAAAGAGCGACGAAACGGTTTTTGCCCTGGCATTTTTCTGCCCTGTCGTCGGGCCGAGAGTAATCGGTGGACGTGGAAAAAGGCGAAACGGCGTCGTGAAATTTGGGCCAGAGGTAATTTCCGTGCGGCGAACGCCACGGCGAATACTTCAAATTCGACGTTTCCAGCGGATATCGCGTTACGATGGGCCAAGCCTCCATTGCCGCCACTATGTCACCGTGAAACATAACCTAGGACAAGGGATTCCGTGTATTTTTTATATTTCATTCCTCTCCCTCTCTTTTTGTACTTCCCTTTCCCCGCGCCTTCTTTTTCCCTCTTTTTCCAATTTTTTTCGGCTTTGCCCCCGCCGTTGTTTGCCCGTCCTCGCTCGATCGTTGCCGGATACGTTTGTCAGGCCGGTGCATGAAAGTCGAGGACAGTTAATCTCGGTGACACGGTATAACTCAATCCTCGCCGGGGGAATATAATTCTTGACGCGTGTCCTCCCCCCCGAAGAAAACCATCGGAATTGCCCGTGAAAAGCGACCGACCGAGTTATCGACTCTGATAACGAATGCCTCGGGAAAATGGGATGAATATTAAAAAGCGAGGGGAGAGAGACAGAGTGCTCGATTCGACGGATTCGGGACGCGGGCTTGTCGTTTTCGGAGATCGATGTTTGCGGGTAGGCTATAGTCGGAATCGTCTCGACGGCACGCAGATATTTCTAGTTCGTATGGGAATTTCGTACGGGAAAAATTCGACCGATCCCGATTCGCGATCATCGGAATTTCCACGGAAACGCGAACCGTGCCGGCAATTGTCAAAGATCGAACGAACGCGAAGAGAGAGCGCGGCGCAATGGAGGAAATTTGGGAAAATTGAACGGGATCGGCGAAAGGAAAATGAGAACCGCGTCAACACCCCGTCGCCGTGGGGCTGTTCGTTGACGAGTAGACAACAGAACCAAGCAACCATGAAGGGTCGCCGCATGAACCGAGCCAAACCGATCGGAGGCAATCCGTGCGCGCGAGCCAGTCGGTGCTAACTAATGTTTGCTCAAAGAATCGCGACGAATAATCGAGTCAGCACAGCAGAAGAGAGGAAAAAATCAGCGTCCGAATCACCGGCGGAATAATCGACTTTCATCGGACGGACTTCCTCGCCTCGCGATTTTCCAGCACGGCCCTCTGAAATGGACGATGTTTGACGAGCCCCTTGGATAGCCGCTCTCCTAATGGATCAGCGGAATATACGGACTGTGCTGGAAATCATAGAATTGTCGTCAAAGTACGACCAGTTGTTTCAAAAACCCGGATAAATATCGGGATTGAAAGTAGCTTTCGGGGTTGGTCGTGCGAACGCGCTTTTCTAAATTTTCCCGCGTCCATTTCTAGTCTGTAGTCTAACTCTAAATTACTCGAAATGTTCTTGGAAAGAGAAAAAGGGAGGAGGAATCGCTTTTATTCCATAGCGATTAACTGCATAGAAACCCGGAATATTCTCATCGGCCTGAACTCTGTCTGGAGGAAGAGAATTGGACCTGGAGTTTTCCGGCGTGGAAATCCATCACGGTCGGGTGTAGCAGGGAAAAATGGTGGAACGAAAGGTGGAGCCGGGACAAGGCGGCAAAGTATTCCAACGATCCGAGCGTGTGTCAACATGCCAGAGGAGGATTCTGCTGCCGGCGGCCGCGGCGGTAGGATCGCGAGGACAGAGCTCGAGGGTCCTAGAGTTAGGCAATCAGCGTTGATGAGGGGGCTCTCAGGGGGTGAAGGGCTCGGACAATTAGTAACCACCCTGCCCCCGTATCTTCCCGCACCTTCGGCCTGCGATTCAACCGGTGAAGCCAGCCAACAACGCGGCGACCGCAGCCGCCACGCATGCGAAAGAGGCTGCTCCATGTCGAGAGAGCGAGAGAGACAAGAGGAGAGAGAGTGCCGTCGTTTACGTCTGTACGCCGCTTTGCGTAGATTACGCTGCTCTAAAGGGCTCTCTTCGTTGCGCCGGATAATGTCAGCACGAGCCGAGTATTGGCAGAGTTAAGAAGGGAATTTCGACTGCTATGGGAACTATGCTCGAGTTTTTCGTCTATAGATCCACGAGTGGAAGTCGAGGGTGTCTCGGGAAAAAATTCGCGATAGGCAGCGAATAATCTTCGCTTCTCCCAAAATCGAACGCTTGCACCCTGTCACGCGAATACCGAGTCACCTTCAGCTCCGCGTCCCGCGATTTCTTCCCATGTCGCGGTGAGTCATCTAGCCACGACTCCCCGTTTGAAAGCTAAATCCAAGCCCGGACAAACGACGCGTCCGATTACGAACTGCGGAGGAGTCAGCGGGACCCGAGTCTGGTGATTAAGAGTCCGCGAACCTATCGAATAGCCGAACGGACGACGAGACTACCAAAGGCGAAGCGATGCACCCCCTGCTCGGATCGTTGAATCGTTTATTCCAAACGCTTGGAAACGCTTGGAAACGCTTGGAAACGCTTGGAAACTAGCGCGGGGTGGAGCGGTCCAGCTGGAGGAACGCGCCACTAATTGCCCCCATCTTCCGTTTCCGCGAAACGTGTCGAGGATTACACGAGGTCCTCGGTCGGGGATGAGTCTCCTCGACGGAGACCGCGGGAATAATAAGCCTGTCTCTCGTGGAGGGTTTCGTCCTCGTTCCTTGACGACCATCGGAGAAGCTCGGCACTCGGCAGGGGAAGAGGCGCCAACCAACATCTCGAGGCGGTGGCGTCTTTCGAGATAAAGGCGGGCACGCGCGCGAGACCTTAGGAGACGCCTAACGAGCTGTTTTGCATGGCAATGCTTCGACCCGGTTGTTATCGGTTATCGATCCGTCAGGAAGCAACGCAGCCAACGGCACGCTGCCATGGATTAAAGAGAACCTGCGCCCGGGCTGCGTGCACGTTCGTGCACTCGTTTCGCGTGCACGCAGAGGGACAGAGAGTCCCCGTGCGGGAGAAGGAGGACGAGAGAAGAGGAAGGGAGAGTGGATGTGGCTGCAAGCATATTTCCAGGCCACACGGTTGTTTGACCGATTGCCACCGGGAGCCGGTGAAAAGACGCGTCGTTTCGCGGAAACCACCGATTTTCCGTCGGCCGCTGCTAAATCGATGGATTCGCGCGCCGAGTCGAGTGGGGAAATCGCCAAGACGGTCACCGGTACTGCGACGGAAACGAAATTGGTCGAAGCGAGGACGAGGTAACGTCTGTAACCGTGGCACAAGTGAGTGGACGCGCAGGCAGCCAGCAGGCAGACAGGCAGGCAGCAGCAAGCAGGCGGGTGAGCACGCGCGACTGCATTAACGGGGCCAGTGTCGCAAGATCAAACAAGATAATTAATCTCGTTAGTCCCGAATCAACCTGCGCTCTCTATTATCGGATTACCATACCGGTTGCCCGGCAATTTGTCAACGCGGCGCATTCCTCTGCGATTTCCTCGACGGTGTGCGGCCCAAGGACCAGCGCGGCTCTCGCCGACAAAGTGTGTTTTCGTCGGATTAACGGATCCCGACGAGGGGTATAGAGTTGGCTACGGGCTTAGAAATCCAACAGAGGGAAAACGACGCGTCTTCGCGCGCATTTCGGGGAAACGCGATGACCCGATGGTCGATCGTAAAAGGCAATAAACCGCAAAAATTTCCCGCGAGCCGTTTATAAAACCGCACTCGAGCCGTTGGTTCCAGGAGACCGTTGGCACGGTAGTATCGGTCGTTGCTTTCCGAGCTAAAAGATCGGCCATGTTTGCGACCCGTTTTGCCAAGGGTGAATCCCCGTCCGAGTTGTGGATGCAACGGAGAGGCCTCTGCTCGTGGGTAACTCGCTTGTAGGTCATTTACGAGGACAATTTCATCATCGACTTTACGATAGGGTTCCTGGCCAGTCCGGCATCCGGAGTGGTAGCAGTCAGTGCAATGGGAAACGGTGCGTCCCGATGGAAAAGACGAGCCCTGTGAGCAATATTCGAATTGCTTGAGGTAAAAGTTGTGGTCGTCGCATGGCGAAAGCCCGTATAAACTTTTATGATTTCGTTTTATAATGAGCATGCCTTTCCCTCCGCCGATCCCCTTTTTCTTTTTGCCTGAGACCCCGGAGCGGGGTCCCTGGGGGGCGAGCATGCCCCGTCGTTCCACCAATTTCTCGGCTAGAATTCTAATTTAATTAGAGAGCCACTTTGTGCGCCGCCTACATTCCATTTCCCTCCACTTCGCTTCTTTTCCCTCTTTT